CACCTAGACCCATCAAACAAGCACGGGGCATCGTACCGCCAGCCAAAAGAACATCTGGATTTCCGCAAGGCCTGGTTCCAGAGCCATCATCATCATCATCATCCCCATTACCATAGCCATCATGATTACCGTCGTCATCATCTTTCATCCGCAGCAGCATCATGCCCCATATGACTGTCATCATGGTGTTCATCATGACTACAGGCATCATAGGAATCATAGGAAACATTACGGGTAGCATAAACATACATAGTTGTCAATGATTTAGTTGTTTTTGTTGCCATTCCTGCGGCCGCCTCGTCCCCACAGCTCCACAGAGGTGACAGGGCCGGCCTTCATGGGCACATGAAGGGTTTAGGGTCCCTTTATAGGGTTTCTGAGTCTTTTTCCCTCCCACTGGGTTTTCAAGGCTTAGGGTGCAGTTCAGCTTCCTGGGCTTCTGTGGGTTCCTAAAGCAACTGTAAGTCCTCACAAGCATTCAATTCGAGGGCTCGTGGATGGCTGCAGTGAGCTCATAAACCTTCAAGCAGACTTGAAGGAGCGTTGGAGCAAGGGCCGTTTGAGTCCTCAGGCAGCACACCTTTTCCAGGCTTGGGTGCTGTAGCATGGGGGCCTTACAGCTTGGAATAGGCTTCGGGTATACTGTAGCAACAATTATGTAAGGACCACAAAAGTGTATTGCGGTGTTTTACTACTGCTAAAGATTGCGACCCATGTATAGTATGGTGAGATAGATGTCTTTCCATGCCTTTTCGGGCTTGCACTGCGCTGGTCAGGACTTCCAGATGCACCTCTGCGATTCCCAGAGCCCCGAACTCCAATCGGAACGGTCAGCTGCCTGGGAGAAGTGATCACGGAGCGCATCCTGCACTGTTGCTGGGTTCAGGTGCCGGCCGGAGGCTTGGCACACTTTCTGCTACTGTTGCTCAAAGGTGAGAACCGACTGTCCTATGGCCATCGCCATCGCTACAAAATCCGACGGCACAACTGCTCAATTACAAGACAGCGGCAACTATCGGAACCTGAAAACTTGGATCCGGTCCTCCGAGGTACCGAAATCAAAGCCGCGCACGTACACTCGATGGCATGGATCCTTGATTGAAGGCTTCAGTGAAAACAAGGTGTTGAGACGTGTAGATTCTCAAGGACGTGCTTCATTGCTTTCGACATTTGAGATATCACACGACGGCCGCCGCCGAAGCCATGAAGGTTAGGTCTCAGGATAGCTACGGCGAACAGCTATCCATTGTAATAATAATACTAATAGTAATAACAATAGTAATAATACTAGTAGTAATACTAATAGTAATAATACTAATAGTAATAACAATAGTAATAATACTAATAGTAATAATAATAGTAATAATAAATGCGCATGGAGACAAGCATGTTGGGCCAAGAAGCCTCGGCCATCGTCGGAACTCTACGTACCGCGGGGGGCGAAGGTCGTTGTCGAGATGTCGAGCCACGATGTGCTTCAGGAAAAACACTGCGGAAGTCGTGCTCATATCTGACTTAACCCCAAACCCTAACTTAAAAATATCCCTCTCTCTCTCAAATCAACCGGGCTGGTCATGAGTCCCTAGAACCCAAAACCTGATCCATCCCAAGCAGCGGCTGCAAATGAAGCACTGCGGCAGAGAACAGCAACTGAGGGGCTGAGTTCCCTAGCCCAACAAAGGCTGACATGTTAAATTATAGTTTTTTGCATAGGGTTTAGGGTTTTTTCAGGATTTAGGGTTAAGGCATTTTTTGAGGGTTGAGGGTTTAGGGTTGCTTTTGGGGTTTAGGGGTTTAGTAGGGTTACGCGAGCCCAGGCAACACGAGTCACAGCTCTGAATCTCAGCTCCGGCCTGAGCATGTCAGCCAAAGCGATGGGACATCATGGCTCGAAAGGACAGCCTCTATATACATGTGTGTGTATACATGTGTATATGCACAGTGGCGCACATACACACACGCAAATATATATATATATGTGTGTGTGTATGTATATATGTATGTATGTATGTATATATATTTTGATATTTGTATGTCATTGTATGTATAGGTATATATACACACATGCAGAAAGCATCGCACTACCGGCATATACATATATATATATATATATTAATATATACGTATAAATGTATTCTCCCAGATTCGCTCTCTTGTTAAAGGCATGCCTCGGGTTGAGTGACTGAAGCTCTGGTTTTGGTTTCGCAGCTGCAGATCATGGCATCATTAGCAGCAGGTGGCGAACTGGAGCCTCCGAGCTGATCCAAGCACTTCCGTTTGTGAAGATAGGATATAAGTACCCTAATTGCGGTTTTAACTATATATAGAAGCATAGCTACCTTGTTTATAGCTCTAGTTGCTAAGTAAGATAGGACAGACAAGATGCAACAATGGCGTTTTTTGGGGTTGCAACAATGGCTCCATCTGCAGAGATTGAGGTACAAATAAGGATAATAAGGACAGACCAAGGGCAACATGGACCGACTACTCTTTCTCTGTTTGGCCCGAGGCCGTCTGCAGAAACACCGCGTCTTGTCAAGGCATGTTACGCCATCTGAACGAATTCAAAAAATGTTCAAACTCGAGCTACTGTCGATGCGTCACAACTGGTCCACGTAGCACACGCTTGATTTGCCATTCGGCAGGGGCCGACAACAACTTTTGCATGTCTCAACATCTGCTCAACAGGCCAAGCTGTGGCTCTTCGGTTTTTGGCGCCTGTCATGAGAGAGGCAGTTTCCGCTTCAAAGCCGAAGCAAAACAAGCGCGTGCTGTTCAGGCACGCAATCTTGTGTGCATGCAGGTGTTGGTACTCTCATAAGGCAGCTGCGCTTTTGCGGTGGCCAAAGCACATGAGAGGCAGGTATAACTGCAGAAAGCTGCAACACTGCCCTTAGGGCATGCTGCGTAGCTTGTTCCTGTTTTCTAGACCTAATGAGCTTAACCGCCTGGATATCTACTTCAGGCTCGCTCTTTGCCACTTGTTAACATAGCCTTGCTGCCATTGCTACACGGAGCGAGAGCCGGAAGACGCATGGTGAATTATAGCACAAGCTCCCCAATCGTCTCGACTGCAGCTCCTGAAACGGCAACTGCGCAGAGTCTAGCGGTTTTGGGCTGAGCCTTGTGGCCCAATTGAAACCGAATGTAAGCAACAGTGACTACAGAAACCAAACCCCGACAATCAGCCTGTTCATTATGAATTGAAACACTGAGGTACCAAAGCGAAACTCACGTCTCAAGTCCTCCTACTTCTTGGACATCGATTCTGAGGCATCCCAATCGGGAGGTGGCGGCTCACGCAGAAATTTGTCCTCAAGTTCGCAATGGGCTCTTGTCAATGCATGAAGACGGGCGGCATTGCAAAACTAACATACACACGTAAAAACACACAAACATATGTATATGTGCATATGTATATGTATATATGTATGTATATCTGTGCATGCGTATGTACGGATGTATATATGTGAAAACGCAAATCAAAATGTACATACATACATACATACATACCTACCTACCTACCTGCATACATACATACCTGCGTACTTACATACATACATACATACATACATGCAGGCATGCATACATACAAACATGCCCACATACACATATACATACATACATGCATACATACATACATGCAACCCTACATACATACATACATACATACATACATACATACATATATACATACGTACATACATACAGACAGACAGACAGACAGACAGACAGGCAGACAGACGGACAGACAAACAGACATACATGCACGCGCGCACACACACACACGCGACACACACACATATATATATATATGTATATGTATAGAAAAATAATAAACAAGTATATATATATATATATGTGTACATATATAAATGTATATATATATATTGCAGGGCTGCCTGCCCTCCCCCTCCCCCCCCCACGGCCCCATGGTATCCCCCCCCCTGCCCCGCTGTGGGGTGGGGCCTGTGGTGGTAGAGCTGAATTGGAATACGCAACACGTGTAACGCAAGGACCTGTTGTCGCGATTGGTGACTCAACTACTGGTACGTGGTTCTGATCTTCTCCACCATCACTCATGTCTACAATTGCATCTACTATGGTCGTGCAGCCCGCATCCGTCGTTCTTCAAGCCCTTATGTGTTACTCTTTATCTTCCTTCTTGCTGTGGCACCGCTGGTACTGCTCATGATGTTGTGCTGCTCTAGACGGCGACGCGAATCGACAATCAGATCATCTTTGACATCATGCTCAACATCATCATTGTCGTCGCCATCTTCATCATCAGCACCATCAAAAAAAGCTGCCACCATCACCATCGCCATACAACTCTCGTAATTAAGCATTGTAATTCATGTCTGATGCGGTTGGGGGGAGGAAGGGGGGAAGGGCCGGGGGGAGAGGGGGCCTTGGACCCGAGAGCATGTATATATGTAAATATATATATATATATGAATATATATATATATAGATATATTAATATGTATGTATGTGTATATATATATATTATAATATTTTTTTAATATATCTATCTGCATAAACATATGTGTGTATACACATATCCACACATACTTACACATATGCATATGCATTTACGTATACATATACATTTATACGTATGTATGTCTGTGCGTATATGTGCATGTATGCATGCGAAGGAACCCACAAGTTTTTCTACCTGACACGTGTTATTTGATATATATACATACAAAATCACATACCTACATACCTACACAACATAACTTAGCATAGCATAGCACAGAGCAGCATAGAATGACATGACATACACTGGCATGAGCTACAGATGCGATGGGCCTGGACACAGAAAGCATGGCCCCGCCAATGTGTCGGTGTAGACATGATCTTCGATCGGAGTCTAAAGAAACCTACGCAATGCCACTATTGCATAGTGGGCTGGTCAGAATACGAGACGCTAGTGCTAAAGTAGAGCCAGGGCTGGAGAGTGGAGCAATTAATTGGATTGTTGGCCGAGAGGCGCACAGGTGCAGCAAATGCTGGGACGGAACGTCCACGCTTCCTTGCCGGCCGCGGAGGCTGCGGCACACCTTCCGCAGGCAGATGGCTGCATGTGGATATCATGCGGGCGTGCACATACATTCTGTCCCACATACACCGCCGCAATACTCGAGACAAGACAACAGACGCAAAACGAAAGCCAGCCACTGGCTTGCCCAGGCCCTGAATCCGATGGACCCGAGATGGACTTCCGAATCCCGAACTTAGAGACAAGGCCTTACAGTCCCATGAGTTCTGGCTTTTTCGACACGCAGACTTACTGAGTCTGCTTTTTAGGGAGGCTTCCCAGGTCCAAAAATCGCCGACGATGGCCCCCCCGTCCCGCAGAGCCTCAGACAGCAGCGGGCGCGCTTCACCGAAGTGCCGATTCACGAAGAGATCGAAAGCTTTCCTGGAAGTCAAGGCCCTAAACCCTAAGCCTAAACCCTAAACCCTAGGGTCTAGGGTTTAGGGAGTTTTATGGCAGGTGCAATAGCAGAGGGGGTTCGAGGCTGGGTTGCTGAAGAAGAGTTCAGAAATGCCCATGAGCTTTCCGTGACTCAGACCTACCAACCAATGTAGGCTTCAATCAAACACCTGATCTCGGAAAGTCCAGGCCCAAATCTCGGACCTGCAGGTGCCGTTCGTTCATGCAACCCTGCAGCACCTGCAACTCTAAGTACCATGAGATCCTGAGCTGTGTCGTACCTGAATTATGGGTTATAAGTATACTGGGTTCTAGGAATAAAATGGCTCGTGCGCTACTATTTAAGTAACTAGAGCCTAGGGTAGGCTTCCCCAATGGGCAAGACGGGCGGCCTGTGTATGTCGTAGGTCTTGGCCAGAGCAGATTTCTCCGCTGTACGACGCGCACGGACCTCCCAAACCTTGATCCGGGCTGCAGTTTACGCTCGCAACTCGGACAGGCCGGGTAGGTTCCATAGGTGCGGGTCGGTCTGACACAGGATTGCAGGTTCCCTGCTTGCGACTATGCAAGAAACAACACAGTAGACGCTCATCCACTCCAAGACATGCAGACTACATACCAACACAGAGTTTCAAGTGTCAGGGCACCCGGAAAAGCTCTAGGCGATTTGCACCCTGTAGCCTGTAGGGCACCCCTGCGAAATCTAGCTTCGAGGGTCACAGTTTCGGCTCTCACTCTCGCACAAGGCAGGCAAGGCTCCACACAAGTCCCAGGTAACAGTTTAGGGTTTACTCGGGGTTTTGGGGCTCGTATAGCGCTGAAAGCTTATGCACGGGGTAGGCCCTCCTGCAATGCAGAATCGAAGCACGGCGATACACTCTGATCTCTTTGCTTGAAGAAACGACGACAAGCTACCATCTGCCAGGATCCGAAAAACCGGCTGAGACTGCAACTCATGACGGGAGACCACTTCAATCACGACAATCAGTGCATGCTTTATTGCCGCGATACCACTGTCCTACTGTTGATGATAGAAATCCTGCACTACCTTAAGCCCTAAGGACCCTAAACTATGGGAATTATGGTATATTATGGGTAATGCAGGATGTATACCATCAACCGTAGCGACCTAGTGACTGATTGACCTACTCACTTGTTCGCTTGCTTGCTGAGATACCTCTCCCTACAATCACTACCACCACCACCACCGTCATGATGACGACCACTGCTACTGCTACTATTGCCACTGCGACGACGGACTGCGACAACGGCGGCTACTACAGCGGCTTAATAGTTAGAGTTGGGCTTTGGGGGTACAGTACTTATGCACCATACTCACTCACCAACATAAGAAACCTCAAGAGATAGTCTGCGCACAAAAAATTGTAATGAACTATGCACTATACTCACCAACATATAAGAACCCTCAATACATATTCTTCGCAACAAATAATCATATTGAACTTGAGGCCCCGAAACAAACATGTCTTCTTCAACCGCTCCCGCCCGCCTTCGTTGCCGACTTCCGGCCCTTGAGGATGAGGTTCCCCACGGGCCGGGCCACGAAGGTCTTGTGCAAGTCGTCTGCCTGCTTTCATGGGCCCAGGGACTCTGTAGGAATAAGAAAAAAAGCCTAGGCTTCCTGAACCCTAAACCCTAAGTCTGTTTAGAAAGACAGTGTAGGCATTGGAACTTGAGGATTGGCATTGGGATTCTGAGGTTTGGGGTGTCGTCGAAAGTTGCAATGATCGGGAGCCTCCTCCAAGCACTCGTTGGAAACCAGGCAGGATGTGCCAAAGTGGGAGTTGATGCTCCTGGTTCGGACTGCACACCCAGCTTTGGGTGTCTGAGTGGTGCAGTGTTGCAAAATACACCCTAGCAAACAAAGTGCGGCATTCAAGTTCTAAAGCGTGGCGCACGCATGAGGTGCATACAGTTGTTCTTCCTACAGTTGCAGCATCACCAATAACATCTAGTAACGAAACAATAGACGTAATGAGCTATCTCGTTGAATACTCTTCAACAATGGCACGCAGAATTTAATCGCATATGAGCAATCCCATATTGTCACTTATTAGTGTGTGTATATATATATACACACACATACACATACACAAACACGTACACGTACATGTACACGTACATGTACACGTACACATACACATACATAATGTGTGCGTATACATATGTGACTTATATAAGTTTGTGTATGTATATATATATACACGTATATGTAGACGTGTACACATTTATGTATAATCACAACTCACCCATTGAAACAGAGATGCGTACGCGCACAAACGCATGCAGGGAGGTCCGTCGGTCGGTGGGCGGGTGGGCAGGCAGGGCGGGTAGGTATCAGCGTATGTCGTGTGCATCAGTATATCTATATATATATATAGAGAG